AATTATATGAATGAAATAAGAAATATATAAATAATTAAATAAATATATAAAGAATATAATACTAACCGCCAGTTAATGACATACATTATCATTGACTACTGTAATTAAAAAGTTCAATATCCTTGTACGTTGGTCAAAGCCAGTGAAAGGATGCTCAATGCGAATGGCTCTATGTTTAAACTTGTTTAAATATTTCAACCAGCTACGTGTACCTTCATTGGGGATATTACTACTATTACTCCTCGAAGTTTCAATTTGTTCTCAGCTGTAAACCATTTCTTGTTTTAAATTAATGAAATACAATAGTTCTTGAAATATTGCTTCAGATTATTTTGTTCGAGATACAGGTTGTACTACATAAATAAATCGTGTCAGGCTACAGAAATCGCTTGAATGAGTATAAAACATCTCTTGCAAAAGACGATAAAGGCAAAAAGCAATTTATTACAATAGGATGCACAGTAAAACAATATTACGTAACACTCAGCCAGAATTTAATCATTAATTTTGAAAATGAAATTTCGTTCCCAAAAACTTTAAAATCGTTTCTTACCATTGAAAATTAATCGGTTTTACATTGGATAAGAAGCGTGCAGCAGTTTTGATGGAAATACACCGTTAAATTTGATTATAAATTGAATATAAAATATATAAAAGGGACTACTTATCTGGAGACTATATTCTTTATGCTTATCTCGATTATATCTATTTATAACTTCAATTATTAAAATAAATTATTACGGATCTATTTAACTCTCGATTTTCGATAATCAATTGAGCTTCATTTAACTGTCTTATTCAACACTCCATATTCAAAGAAATAACAAGTTTGAAAGCTATCAAGGAGTCAACTCAAAACACACAGCATCCGTTTAACCTCTCCAGGAACCTATCTACCAATCACGGAGTGCAGTTCCCTCGGTTTACCGAAACACGCGAATGGCAATAGCCCCGGCGGCAAGATAACAGAGGAATCGCTTACGTTTCTCCGTGCAGAAGAAGGGTCAGCCACCTTGCTGGAAATTCGATCAGAATGATAAGGTGGCGACCAAAGAAGACCACAGCAGGAAAACAGTGAAGTTTCAAAGGATAGTGCGAGCACGCTGGAGTGAAAGGTGAACGACCGTAATCAAGGAAGAAATGCAATGTTTCACGAAGGACCGGAGAAAGAGTCAGGCTAGCCCGTGAACCGGCATACCGTTTATATCCTCTTCCAGTGGTACACACAACGCTCAACGGCGACACTGCGCAACTACGCAGTCGGCGGCAGACTGGATGTGGCCGGGTTAAAGCGGACCACGCATCCTCTGCCCCGCCCAATCGTCGCCCTCCTTCTTTCTCGCCCCATACGATCCTTCCCCACGACGGAAACTACCCTTAACGAGTTAGCTTCTTTCTGTTGCTCCTCTGACTGCTCGCTTGCCCTCCTTTGTCTCTCCATTTGTCTTTTTCCACATTACGAGCAATATACGTTGTGTTGTGAAAACTGTAGAAGGGTGGACAGTGGTGGGGAGAAACGTGAGTATTAAGAACCGAAAAAATGGTTTTGTATAATTCTGTATCTTTTGAAATTTTAGTTGTAGTGAGATTTGAAGTATTTAATACCACTTTCGTTCGATGATTTAGTTACATTGTTGAGAGATTTCTTGCATTTTTGTAAATTTCAAAATATTGACAAATGGTTTAATGTGGTAGTACATGAGAAAATAACTGTATATTAGGCCAAAGTAATCAAATCTCCCCTATTTTTAAACTACTCTTTTTAAATTTTTATTATATCTGTTAATTATTACATATAGAAAACATTGATTTTTGTAAATATAATATAATTTGCTTAATGTTATTTTAATTCACAGAAACTTATATTAATAATTAGAAAAATATATAGTATTTTTAAGAAACAATGGAGACGGTCAAATAAATTTCTAACATTACAAGTGATTTAAAATTCTAACATCTTTTATAATTTCTGATCTTTGATAGTTTAAATTTATGTACCTTTTTGTAAAATGTTATGGAAAAGCTGATTATCGTATAAATCCATCACAAAAGGATACAAATACATTTTTTAATTATTTTATATATATATATATAAAAATATTTTTCTTCAAAAAAAAAGATTGAATCGATTTTTTAGAATAACAGAGGATCGAAATCAAATTCGACAATCTTTATAATGGCACACGATATTAGAGCAGATAAATTACTTCTTTATTTAAGATATCTCAAGTGATTAAAAAAGTTTTTTCTCCGTTACATTCCTCTTTTTCATGAACAAATAATTGTTTAGTTCAATATCAGTGGAATATACACATCCACACGATTTATTAATAATTTTAATAAATATTGAAAAGTAATTTTCTCCTGACATCTAACATTTAACACTAATAAAACTTGTTTAGCATGCAATGCACGCTATTTTAGTTACTAATAATAAATTCATTAAATTCTCTTTTGGTTTTCGTTGTCCCTTGAATTATAGACACGAAAATGAAAAATCAAGCATTTATGAAAATTTGATATATGGAAACATTCTCGATGGAATCAAGTGTTAGTTTTAAAATGACAAAAGCAAAAAATATTATATTAATTTAAAATTTAGATTGGATATTAAACAAATCCAGCTTAAACAATATGTTAGGAAATACATTATAAACGGTTTAATTTTATAAAAGAAATCATAAAGAATAAAAAATTTGCATATTTTTTGGTCTTAATTTTTTACATTAGATAAATTTTATTTTTATCGAAATACTGGAATAACTGTTATTTCTAGTATTATAAAAATTAATTTACAAAATTACTAATTATCAATGTATGTTCATATTTTTAATATGCAATATACTGTAATTACATAAACATTATTTTGGAAAATAGTAATACGATTAATACATTGAACATGTATTATTAATATGAAGTTAATGTTCTTAGAGTAGTTCTTTATGAGAATAAAAAGTTTGTCTCAATTTTGCTTTCAATTTATATGCATTAAATCTATACTTATTTAATATCTACTTTAATTTAATCGAATTAATTTTCCTAATTCAATATAATTATTTAACACACAACATTAATTATTTATATCAACCGAATTTTTATTTTGTATTTCTCTTATATACTTACAAGCAGAGACATCTTAACGTACAAGTACATAACCTATTATACATATATTTAAATATGTATCTATAACTTTATAGATATTTATGTTATTTTTATCACTATTTATTTAACTAATTTAGATATTTTTAATGTAATATTTAACAGTTCTTTAAACTTTTCTGCATTAAAGTATTTACATATCTTCAAATTTAATTAAAGGAGTTGCAAGTGCTTCTTGTCATATCAAGAAGGTTATGGCGAAGATAGATTTGACATTATAAAGAAGTAAATTTCGTAGATCAATGGTCCGTGTCCCATCGGTGCCTCTCACTATTTCCAAAGAGAGTTTACAAATTCTTTAGAAGTACTTTTACAAACATTAATTGTTAAAGAGGAGGGTCCAAAATATAAAAGTAATTTTTAAAAATCCGTAATTTGAAATGTGAACTGTAGAAGTAATTGTATTTTACTTTTATGTGATTTTAATATGAAATGTTCTTTTAATTTTATAGGAACTATCATGCAGTTCATAGACGATTCTGCAGTGACTTATTCCTTGGCCAAATCTTTGGTTAAACAGAAAGAATTAGATGTTTATGATGCTAAACAGTTTGTTGAAAATTATAAAGAGTCTAATCAAAGCTATGGAATGAATGTTGTAATGGTATAATATTAAATATGTTATAATCTATTAATATATTATAATATTCACATTAAAATTAACTCTAAGATTCCAATATTTTTAAAGATACTTTAAAAATTACAGAAAAAAGGATATACAGACATTGTAAGTCTAGCTAAAGAACTATTTGATGGTCAAGGTTCATCAGGAAATGTTGGAGCATTCAGAATTGCATCTATTGTTATCAAAATTATGATAAACTTTTAGATTTAGTTAAAAAAGTGACTCAAATTACCTATACACACATCCTTGGAATAAATGGTACTATTTTACAAGTAATTATATTTAAAATATTATATTATTTGCATTCATGACAATTTTCTTACTTATATTTTTATTACTTTAAAGGTATCAGCAATTTATCAGAGTCTCCATTTAAACCCTAATGAAGAATTAAATACTATGGACTTTATTGATGATTTGATTCATAAAATGGACCAAGTAGGAAAATATAAAAAAACAGTATGATTTTATAACATAGAACAAAATAGTTTTAAAAATAACTTCTTTCATGAAGTACTCATTTTTTGTAGCTTTGGTTTGTTAGAACCAGAACTATACAAAATAAAATTAAATGAAGTAAAATCTTTAATATCGGAAAACGGTGAAGGCTCGCCTTATAATGAGGAAGTAATACGAAAATTGGGGAATACTGTTGCAGCTATGTACCTAGTGCAATATTCTGTTTTTTAAGAGCACAAAAACCAATTACAGGTATACAGATAGAAAATCCCTTTAGAAGAGCTATTCAGTATGCTGTGGGTATAATATATTATATTTTTCCAAATCAAATATATTATAGTTAATATTAATAATTATTTTCTTATAATCAAAATTTATTGATGTAAACAAAATTTTTTTCCAGATAAGTTTAGGTGGTGATATAGATACTATTAGTAGTATAACTGGGGCAGTTGCTGGCGCATTTTATGGCGAAGGAAAAATTTTACAATATTGTAAAAACTCTGAAGAATTTAGAATTTTAGAAGATAAATTATTCGAACTATCAGTATCGCAATAAAAATTTTCTATTATTTGTATACAGTGCAATATAAAAACCATTTTATTTCTTAAGAACATAATAAAAATATAATTACTATTAAAATTATAATTTTTAAGTAATTAGTTATTACTAAATTATTCATAAAATATTTGTATAATTGATGTATATCTTTGTATATACATTTAGTAATAATAAATTTGTACACTTATTAAATAAATAATTTGTATAATAAATAATTTCAATTGATTTAAATAGTTTTTTTAAATGTAGACTAAATAATGTATTTAGATGTTTTCTGCCTAATAATGAAAGATTATGTTCAGGAATAAAATATTAAACATTAATCAATCAAAATTTGTATTAAAATAAAGTAGTTTTGAATTTGAAAATCGATCAAATAATTCAATAAATATATGCAACATTTACTAATTTTAAACATATGTACAAAAGAAATTTGACATTTCTATCAGCTGATAGATTTCAATATGGCCGCTCAGAAAACATATTATCTGTATGCGGTCGAAGAGACGACTAATAATAATTTCTTGTCTCATGTATGAAATAGAAAGAAATTATAAAAAAAAGGTAGTGAAAGTTCTCTGAATATTATATTTTATAATGGCCGACAACGAAGAAGTATTAGAGGGATTTATCTGTCCAATATGCATGACAGATTTCAAAACACCTAATCAATTAACAAAACATTTTGAGGATTTTCATAACGATGATCCAGAAATTTTAAAATCGCTTAAAGGTGAGAATTTTACTTCCAATAATTATCTTGAACCATTATTTGTGTATTAAATTTAAATGTTATGAATAAAATTCATAATATATTTCATACAACTTCAGGTGATATGAATTTATATTTTAAATATGAATGTATCAATTTAATTAACAAAGTAGTTCAAAAAATTCTATTATTCTAGATCTTTTTGGCAAGGCTAAAAAGAAAATTTTAAAGCAAGATGAAATGTCAGATTCCTTTGCAAATAATATACCATCAACTAATAGACAACTTAGCCCAGAACTTAATTGGGGACCTCAAGAAATAGGTATTGATTCATTAAAATAAAATTAGATACAAACATAATTTTATATTGAAGAATGAAATTATATGATATATGAAACAGGATAATAAAAATTTATTTAGAATATTTTTGAGAAAGTTTGACCCAAATTTTTTAAGATGAGTTATGGATGTATAAATAAGTGAGAAAATTATATAAAATGTTTTCTCTATTACAAATTTTTAGGTGCAATGAGATCGCATACAAAATATTTTAAAGATATAAGAAATATGAGATTGGAGCGTTATTCTATAGAAACAAATAAACTTCTTATAAGATTAGATAAATTACTGAACAATTTACCATCTGATCCAGTTGATAGGAAAGGTAAAATTATATTTTTTTCTACCACTTTATAAATAAAAATAAATTAATATCTTTTTTTTTTTTTTTCAATAGTTCATGAACGCACTATTGTGCCATGGATAGATGAAAAAGATGTAAAATTGTGCCCTACTTGTGCAAAAAGCTTTCATGTTGCAAGAAGAAAACACCATTGTAGACTTTGTGGAGCTGTTATGTGTCACAACTGTACAATATTTCTATCATTACAAGATGCAAGTTGGTATTTTCAAAATTATTAAGAAAAGAATGGAAAAACAAATTTTTATATAAATTTATCACATATTAGGAAAAATGACAAGCCCTGTATCCGTACAAGATGATTCAGCAGTATCTCCTACCTCTGAACGACCAATTACGGAACGTATAGTACGTGCAGGTATAGGTCTTACAAAATTGGCGAGGTCACCATCCAGTGGTAGTTTAAACAGTGTACTATCCTTGGTTAACGATTCAACAGGCAGTGAGCAACATTTCAGAATTTGTACACATTGTGCAAATCTACTTAATGCAAGAGAAAAACAAAAAGCAAAACATTTTGATAAACCAATAGTATGTCAATTTTATGATAAGATGAGAGCATATATGAAAGAAGCATCGCAACACGTGGAAATGTACAACAAAATGTGGGAATCATTAAAGTATGTAAACCTACTATAAAATGGACATTCATAATGCTATAATATTTATATACAATTTTATATTATTACTAGTACAAAATTACTAGTAGAAAGTTAAGAAATGTGTTTTTCAGTGAGGGAGAATCTACATATAATTTAGAAGATGCTCAAGCTTTAAGAATTAAAATCGCAAAATTAGGCGAAAATATAGATTTAATTAGCAAAAGAATTTCAGTACTCGGAACAAGATGTGTAGAGAATCCCCCGCAAGATCAAGAACTTCGATTACATCATATGGTTAGGATGTCTGCGATGATATTTTTAAAAGAAGAACTACTGAGCGTACAAGCTTTGCCTTCGGAAGAGAGATATGCAGAATTACAGAAAGAACGGCAAAGACGTTTAGAAGCTAGAATTGCATACGAACGACAATTGGAGGAAGAACAAAGAGAGAGATCTAAAGAACAACGTAAAAAGGATTCGTGGAATCTTGAAGTTAGACCTACTGTAAAAGAAAATCAGGTAATGCTAATTGACTAAATAAATAGAAAAGTTTGAAGTTTATTCTTAATTTAATGTTATTAACGTTTTATTTGTATTTGAACAGCCTAATGCAGTGGTACTAAATCAATCACAAGGTTGGGGTCCTTCTAGCATTACTCCCATAATGCCATCTTCTATGGATCCTATAATTGAACAAATGAGTAATCTTCGAGCGTATATTAAGCAAGCTAGAGCTGATTACAGATATGATGAAGTAGCAACATTAGAAAACAATCTTAAAGAGCTTCAAAGCGCCTATTTTACAATGAAACAAAGTAATAATAGCGATGGATAAGCTATAAACGTATCTGCATTTTTTACTAGGTAATTGTGTATTCTTTATTCACTTTTAATAAGGCTTAATAAATCTTTCTATTGTATCAAATGTTTCATGTATCACTGGATCCATTTCATATATTATTGCACAATGTGATATACCTTGAAAGTTCCTTTGCATTTATAAATTTAATTATAAATTCATTATGATATTTCATAATGCATTTATTTGGTAATAAATTATTATTATATACGTACATTAATATTCAGAAATATAAATAATTTTTAATATAATATTTATATAATAGTATATGTATTTGTTATATAATAACATCCATGCATATATTAAAAAATATTTAATTTATTTAAATCAAAGCTTAACATTTTTTTAAAAGATATAAAGGTATGTATTCATAGATAATACTAAAATATTTCTCACAACAGAAAAGAGTGGAGAATACATAATTATTAATCATAATTAAAAGATTTGTTGTATTTAAAACTGTTGTATCCTAAAACTATTAAAGATCTTTGTTGTATTCTAAAACTGTAATTGGTAATTCTTCTGAATTTACTGCATTTTGCACTACATTTTCATTATTTTCAACATCACCGGTATTATTCAAATTAGATACATTATTTATATAAAGTTCAACAACACATTGAGGCAATTCAGTAGAAGTTATTTCATTTTCATTAATATTCAAATTCGATAAATGCAATGAATTATTTATTTCATAATCAGATAAAGTTTTATTTAACATAATTGCACTATTATTTAAAAAAATTGGAAGTTCCTCCGATAATATTTCCTGATTTAATTCTGCCTGTCTAGTTGTTTGACCAAATTCATTTAAAAACACAGGTAATTCATTAGATAATATTTCTTGTTGTCCAAATATTTGTTCTTGTTTTTTACATTCTTCTATATCTTGTTCACTACTAAATTTCATTAAATCGGACATTTTTGGATTCAATGTTCTATCGTTATTTTCTACCAGCTTTTCATTATGCTTTCCTTTTGAAGAAATTAATTTTGTTGATTGCATATTTCTTTCCAAAGAACTATTATTTATCACATGGTTCATTGGATTAGAATTAATTGTTTTATTATCATCAACTTCGAGAGGTAATTCAAATATCAAAGATTCACTGAAATTAAAGTTTTCATGTTCCTGTCTTACTTCCAATAATTTTCTTATAACGTTTTCTGAAATATCTATAGGTGCTGCTGGTCCACGTTTTGGTCGTTTTGGGAGTTCCACTGTGAAAACAATTTTTAAAAGATTGGAATTATAATAGTTATGTATTCTGTAGCAATATTTTATTTATTATACCATTTAATATTTCTCCAGCTACATAATCAGCTGCTCTAAACAATTCTGCTTTTACTAAAAGATTTAACAAAATACCCAATGTTGGTCTATTTTTACCCATTGTTCCCCATTCTGATAAAAATATTTCTGCTGCATTTCTTTGTTGTTGTACAGCTTGCTCAATCATACTAAAAGAAATTTATATAATTAATGAAAATTAAATATAATATATAACCAAAAAAATGCAGTCCATCTTTTATTAAGTATAATAAAATTGTGACATATATTATATATCATTATATAACCTGAAATGTTCAGTATTAAATTTAGGAATATTAGAAACATTTTCCTTTGGTACAATTGCCATTAATTTTTTCCATGAATCCGATACATTCAATATTTGCCCAAGTTTGTATAATTCTGCGGGTCTTAATTTTCGTAATTCCGTATTCAAGCAAACACTATTTTGTGACATTATGCTAAATGTCTGAAGCAATGATTTCTATAAAACATACATAAATTTTAGCAGAAAATATGAAAATTAACCTATCTCAAATGTACAACAAATCAGGAAAATAACTTTTAAACTTTTTATTTGAACTTTTAGAATATATTTAATTTACAACGCAATATATTCGTATAATACATTAAATACGAACATCTTATTTATTATTAATTTTTTTTTTAATATTTAACTTTACAGATGTTTTCTCGCAGTTTACATGTGTTAAATAAATACCATTTTTTATAATCATCATCAGCCGCGAAAATTAAAATATTACATCTACAATAAAAATAGAAAGATTAAAGATGTGTAATGTTTTAATTTAAAAATTATTTTTTTTCAACAAATTTGTCTCTTGTGTATATAAAAAAAAAACTTAACAATTTAAGCAATTTAAATTGGAATTTCTGAAATATAACACACGTAAAGTATCAATTAAAAAAAATTCAAAAGATATATAAATAAGCACATATTAAATACACAATACAAAATTTATTATTTAAATATTTTATTTTTATTTCCTGTAAAGAAATTCGTGTATAAAATTTTTTAAAAGCAATATTTTTATATGATATGAATGCATATCAAACCTAACAAGAAGAGTTCAAGTCCTTCGAGACACCGATTTAGTTAAAACTTTACAGGTTTATAAATTTCGTCATGCAGTTCAAGAATATATATCATTGTAGCTGCAACCATTCAATAATTCTTGAGATATTTACGATTAAAGTTTTATTACTTCCTTAATTATAAATTTGCTTCCACAGTTTACCAAACGAAGTTGTGGCCTAACGACGACAGTCGAGAATTCCTCTACTGGAGGACCCGGGGTTCGATTCCCGTCCATGATTGGTAGTTTTCTTCGATCTACTTTTTATTTTGTATTCATTTTTCGCCTATGAAAACATTGTAAATAAACAATTGTAAATAAAATTTCTTAATAAACAAACTTATTTTTTACCCCTTCTTATCTTAGTATATATTTATTACAAAATAATAAGAATACTATGCAAGAAAAATAGTTTTCTATAATAATCTTATTTACTACAGAAAGAAAACGAAATATAAATAATCATTAGATACAGGTAATACAAAACCTATCGCTCATTTAAGCATTAATTATTAAATTAATCATTGTATAAGAATGTTGCCTATAATTTTAATTTTGCTTTGCAGCTATAAATGTTCAGGAATTAATTACAGAAACTGGAAAATTTATTAATTTTCTACTGCCGAATTGACTTATTAAGATATATTAGGAGCACATAATCAGAAGAGGTATCCAGTTCGAATAAAAATTTTACCGCCTGCGATCAGCGCCATCTATGATTTGGGCTCAAAAATCAAGAAAGTGATAGGAATATAGAATAGGTGAGGAGGTCGTCGAAGAGCTCGTCATGTGACAGAATAGGACAGAGAGGGGATAGACAAGGATAGAATGGCTCCGGCAGTGAAAAATTATTAATTACTCAATTTCTGTAAAAAGAATTAATTTATAAAACTTTAAGCACTCATTATAAAAACAATGTCCTTGTGAATCTTCTCATATAACTTTTTATCACATTTTGCTTCTAGTTTCGTTTAGTAATAAATATTTTCACGGAAGGTCGTGATGGTCGCCGTTGCGAAATCATAGACGCCATAAAACAAAAATTAATAACTAACAATTTAGAGTTAAATTCATTTGGAAAGTTCGTGAAGGATTTGGCTTTATGATGCAATTATAAAAGTTCACAAATTGTTTACAGAAATTGAGTAATTAATAATTTTTCACTGCCGGAGCCATTCTATCCTTGTCTATCCCCTCTCTGTCCTATTCTGTCACATGACGAGCTCTTCGACGACCTCCTCACCTATTCTATATTCCTATCACTTTCTTGATTTTTGAGCCCAAATCATAGATGGCGCTGATCGCAGGCGGTAAAATTTTTATTCGAACTGGATACCTCTTCTGATTATGTGCTCCTAATACATCTTAATAAGTCAATTCGGCAGTAGAAAATTAATAAATTTTCCAGTTTCTGTAATTAATTCCTGAACATTTATAGCTGCAAAGCAAAATTAAAATTATAGGCAACATTCTTATACAATGATTAATTTAATAATTAATGCTTACATGAGCGATAGGTTTTGTATTACCTGTATCTAATGATTATTTATATTTCGTTTTCTTTCTGTAGTAAATAAGATTATTATAGAAAACTATTTTTCTTGCATAGTATTCTTATTATTTTGTAATAAATATATACTAAGATAAGAAGGGGTAAAAAATAAGTTTGTTTATTAAGAAATTTTATTTACAATTGTTTATTTACAATGTTTTCATAGGCGAAAAATGAATACAAAATAAAAAGTAGATCGAAGAAAACTACCAATCATGGACGGGAATCGAACCCCGGGTCCTCCAGTAGAGGAATTCTCGACTGTCGTCGTTAGGCCACAACTTCGTTTGGTAAACTGTGGAAGCAAATTTATAATTAAGGAAGTAATAAAACTTTAATCGTAAATATCTCAAGAATTATTGAATGGTTGCAGCTACAATGATATATATTCTTGAACTGCATGACGAAATTTATAAACCTGTAAAGTTTTAACTAAATCGGTGTCTCGAAGGACTTGAACTCTTCTTGTTAGGTTTGATATGCATTCATATCATATAAAAATATTGCTTTTAAAAAATTTTATACACGAATTTCTTTACAGGAAATAAAAATAAAATATTTAAATAATAAATTTTGTATTGTGTATTTAATATGTGCTTATTTATATATCAAAGTCTAAGAAACATAAGTCTGCAATATGTATAATATATCACAGACTCATTGAATGTATGCAAAAATTTTGAGATAGACATAAATAAATTTAGAAAAATACTTCTGAATGATTTAGTATACAAATGAAATACCATAATTTAATTTTTATTGTTTGTTATGCTTATACAATTCTAGTTCTTCAAAATTCACAGGAAACTAGTTATTAAATTCTTTTTGTGATTTGTTCATTTGAGGCACTGATTTTGTTTTATATGTCTTAATGTCCTTTTCAATTACACTTAACTATAAAATTCACAATTTATTAAATGTAGTTATATAAAAACATCATGATTTTAGAAATTTTGCATATATATACGTATGTATTTATGTATGTATGTGTATTATTCTTTATTAAATAATATCTGAAATGTAAATAATAAATAATTTTAAATAAGTGATTTAAAATTTTATTTACTAATATCAAAATAAAATTACAAATACCATTGTTTCACAAACGACCTGATATACTTTTAGCATTTTCTCTGCTGTTAGCAATTCGAGATCCAAACTGAAAAGCTCTCTTAGGAAAATTAGCAGTATTTCGAAAACCAAGTTTATATGCTGCCAAACGTAAAAGTAATTTATCTCCTAAGCCTGATGGCATTTTATCTGTTGGATAACACCTAGCAATAATTGAATAATAATTGTGTTTCATTATCTATTTTCCATTTTATATTTATTTTGTCAATTTACCTTTCCCATGGTTTTAATTTTTGAACATATTCTAAGACGTTCTCATCTAAATACGGCAGTCTAGATTGCCTTCCATGATCTGATACAATACGATCATCGCGGCCTAAATTTCTTTCTGATATTCTATCTAATTCAATATTTAATTCTTGCATTAATGCGTCCCACCCTTTATGTTTTAATATCGTCCTATGTCTCATATATCCACCAAACAGCTCATCTGCCCCCATGCCTAAGAGAAGTACTCTACACGAAGATTCATATGTATTTGGATTCGAATGAATTGTACCTTTCGCACGACTTGCAAACCACACAGCACAACCTAAGCTTTCATCTAATACAGTACATAATGGATATAGTAAATTACAAATTCGTGAAGAACGATATTTCTGTAATTCCGTCTGACTAACATTTACCTGAAAGAATCAATACAAATTAATTATTAGTAGATTTTTCATATTTTAAAGTTACATAAAAATATTTTTATTTATTTAACTACTTCAATAAAATTCCATTTTCGTCTCTGGCAAATCTTCGAAAGTTCTATAAAAGTTTGCTTTCCAGTTTTCCTATCAGGAACATCATACTTGTCCTCCATATCTCGTTTTGCATTATGTGCATTGGATTTCTTAGATGTGTTAATTGATTTTTCAAATGCAACATTGATCAAGTCGATAGGTTCATGTTGCGATACATATTTGTCGGCGATTAATGTTAAAATAGCAGAATCTAAGCCTCCAGAAAATAATATACCTATTTTCGAATGATTGCATTCTACATTTTCTTTGTTTAATACTAATTTAATACATGTTTTACAGAATTTTGGCTGTTTTATTATTCTAACTTCTACAGCTTTGTAAAGAAGCTGTAATAAATGATCTACTCTTTCATGGATATCTTTATTTTCTAACAAATACTCTAATACTTTACATGAATTCTCTAAATAAGAACTACTCTCTAAATATTCTATATCTTTAACACTAGGATGTAAATGTAAAAAAATTGATGTAGCTGGTTTTAATATAGTTTGTTTAATATCAATGTCCACCCCCAAATGTGTTTCTAATGTCTCAATAATATCTGTAAATTGTAAATCTAGCTCTTTCCATGGATAGCATGCAAGATTTACTCTCAAATTAGCTAAATTCATAACAAAAATTCCAACTGCTGGAATTTCTATGATTTTATTTATTTCTTTACTGGCAACTGATGTTAAAGTTAAAACATTTTTATCAGTATTTATTTTTATAAGTAGACTGTGTCTCCCTATAATATCTCTCCCAAAATATAGAAGACTACTAGATTTTTGAAAATATATAAAGCTATATGGGCCTTGGATTTCTTGAAATACTGTTAGTATATTTGAAGATGACTGCAAAGCATTCAATAGCACATTAGTATCACACATATTATCTTGAGCCTAAAATAAATTAACATTTCACTTTAATAAGATTTTATAGTACATTCAATATTTATAGAATAATTCATGTATGAGGATATTATTTACCAACTTTCCAGAAAAAATATCTCCATTCCAAAGAAGAATATTACCATTAGAATCTATGAGAGGTTGTTCACTCAAATTAGAACCTTGCATCCATAATACAGAAGCAACAAAATGTCCAAACCAATTTGGAGTTAAATTTTCAAATTTCTCTTGTATTCCATCAGGGCCACGAGCACTTACTAAATTTTTGCAAACTTCCCACTGAAAAAACATTAGTTAATATTAAAAATAATTTTTCTATAATTTGCTCATTAAAATTTTTCTTTTTATATATTTATATTAGTACCTCATGTGAAATTTTTATACTACTTTTGTGATTTTGTGAAACGCAACAAAATATTCCACACATTGCTTCATCAATATAAATATAACTTTAATTTATAATTATATTACAAATAAATAATTTATAAATGTTTTACAATACAATTTGTTATAAAATGTTATAAAACTTCTCTTTCTGTAGAGACGTACAAAAAAATTTTTTAAATTACTTATTGTTATCATTAATAGTAAACTAAGTCGAAAAACGGCGACGAAATTCCTAAATAGGTAATTAATTGCATTAACATAAACTTTTTATCAAGTATATATTTTTAATCATATTTTATTCAAATGTAGTTGTTTATGTATATAATATGAACGAAATATAAAATTTATTAAACATATGATGCTCATACAAATAAAAACCCTATAAAATATATCAATATTCAACCTCCATTATAAAATATCTTATAATATGTACTTTTTTTGCGTTTAATATTTATTTTAATATATTTGAAATTATAGTCAAAAATTAAATTCATTTGAATAAAATATATATGTGTAAATATGTTTCACTGTTTCACTTGAGTTTTCGCCATATTGTCAAATATAATTATCTTAAGACATCGATAATATATTCAATTTATAGATAGAACATTGAACCATTATTGGACTGTGACACTGTCATTCAAAGTACAATTACTTATCCTTTAAACAGATTTTATTTATTCATTGTTATTTAGGTTGTATAAATAATCTAATAGTGACGTAGGTATTGTTCATGACAGTTCTTCGATCTATTTGCAATATGATCAATACAGGGTTTGTATTATAAATTTAACAATTATCAAACAGATTATGCTATGATATAAAAAATTTCTTATTGCATTAATTTTGATAACTAATTTTGATATAGAAGAAAAGAAATCGCACGTTCTAATTTATTGTTTGTGTATGTATTATATTGTAAATTTTGCTTACCAAATTTTACTTATACAAAAATTAATTATAAATATCAAGAAATAAATTGATAAATATTATTATTAACAGCTATTAATACATTTTTGTTATCCAATATGTATACTGGGTGCAACAATCTTATACAATGATTGTATCTTGTACAAATATTTAATATAGAAAACTTGCGGGTCGCACAATTTTTATTACTGGGGCATCAAGAGGAATTGGAAAAAGTATTGCTTTGAAAGCTGCAAAAGATGGGGCAAATATTGTTATTGCAGCTAAGACTGCAGAACCACATCCAAAGTTACCAGGCACTATATATACCGCTGCCAAAGAAAGTAATTATAAACAATACAGGATATAAAATAACAATTAATTATTTATTCTCAATTCTAATATATTGAATTTTCTTTATTAAGGAATTTATCTATTTCAGTTGAGCAAATGGGTGGAAAAGCATTTCCCTGTGTTGTAGATGTAAGAGATGAAATTCAAGTAGTTTCTGCAGTAGAGAATGCTGTTAGCAAATTTGGTGGTATTGATATTGTTATTAATAATGCAAGTTCAATTTCTTTAACAGGAACAGAATCTACAGAAATGAAAAAGTATGATCTTATGAATAACATCAATACTAGGGGAACATTTTTAGTGTAAGTATAAAAGCTTTTTATGAAATTTTAATTGAAAATGATAATATTGGAATGCTTATTTTAAGGTCCAAGGTATGTATACCTTATTTAAAAAAAAGCACAAATCCTCATATAGTAAATATCAGTCCACCATTAAGTATGAAACCAATATGGTTCAAAAATCATGTTGCATATACCATATCTAAATTTGGAATGTCGATGTGTGCTCTTGGTATGGCTGAAGAATTAAAAGATGATGGTATTGCTGTTAATACAGTCTGGCCAAAGACTGGTAAATTATTTATTTTTCTTCATAATTTTCATTTTTAATTATTAAGAGAAGTACTCTTTTTAAATTTTTCTATATTACCGTAAAGTTTAATTCGTTATTATTTCAGCTATTTTTACTGCTGCAATTGAAATGTTATCTGGCCCTGAATCAAGTAATTATAGTCGTAAACCTGAAATAATGGCAGATGCTGTATATGCTTTAATTTGCAAAAACAGCAAATCTATCACTGGACAGTTTTTAATTGACGAAGAAATATTAAAAAATGAAGGAATTACAGATTTTACTGATTATGCATGTAATCCAAGTATGTTCCGTAGGATACAATATTTTTTTAAAAATCTATATATCATGTAAAGAATTTATTTAAATGGTTTTTTCTTTTCTGTTTTAAGAAAATAAAGACAAATTGATACCTGATTTATTCTTAGAAGAAAATTTAGATGTATCAGACATACATGATTATGCATTATATAAAAACATGCAAAAGGGTACAAACAAGCAGGATACAAACAAACCAAAGGAAAAAATTGCCCAGATATTTACAGTTATTCAAGCTAGTTTAAATACCGAGCTTGTTAATAAAACAAACGCCATATATCAATTCAATGTTAAAGGTAATATATAAATTGGTTAAATTAAATATTATCTTCTTTTGATTATTCTAGAACAATCTTAGTTAATATAAAGTTAACAGGTAATGAAGCCGGTACATGGTTTTTGGATCTGAAAACTGGTAAAGGTTCAGTAGGTAAAGGAGAACCTGGTCAATTACCAGATGCTACATTGACAATGGATTCTGAAAACTTTTTTGCAATGTTTTCTGGTAATTATATTTATTTACATATTGCATGCATTAAAAATGAATTTACAATCATTTTTATTTAGGAAAATTGAAACCTGCATCAGCATTTATGATGGGAAAATTGAAAATCAGTGGAGATCTTCAAAAAGCAATGAAACTGGAAAAATTAATGCATCATTTGAAATCTAAACTTTAAAAATTAAGTACGTTCTTTCTTTTTGGGAAGTATTGGCATATTTACATATTAAAGTAAATATATTGTCATATTAATAATATTATTATTTTTATCAAAGTTTAATTTTAAATATAAATGTTAAATATTTATATAGTTTACAAAGGAAAATGTAAAATATATTTTTATATATACTTGTAATATATTTTGTAACGGTAAACAATAAAGAAATAAACAGATTTTTACGTATTTTATAAAATATTTACAAATATTGTTGATATTTTGTACTTTCTTCTGAATCTATGAGGTGAAATATTTTGTTACTATAGTTTTTATTTCTTCATAAGATCCAAAAAAGATAAATCCTCCTATTGTTATCCACATTATTCTAGGACATACACCAGAAAACAACCTATAAAATTTAATAGCTTAGAAGTCAAATTAATGCAATGTTTGGAAAATTATCAATTGCAAATCAAATTTAAATACTTACGCATGTAAGCCTTCGTTTTTGTATATATCTTTCAACACATATAATATTTTTAATTCTGAAGTACTCTCATTTCTATGTGAAAGCATTATTCGTGTTTTTATAACATCTAATGGATTAGTAACAGTGGCAGCGATGCCACCTAAATAGTTATATAAACTTAATTGAATTAATAACATCTATTATAGTAGAAAATTATAGTAGAATACTAAAATTTTAAACCTGCAATTGCTCCACATGTAGCACTTTCTATTGGAAGAATTTCTCTATCAATATGTAAATTCCAAACTTTCTTAAAATACTCCCATAGGGGAAATTGTATTAAACTAAATGGCATGTCTCTTGCCACAGTACTCCAGTAGCCACAATACAACATTTTCAAATTAATATCTTTTCTATCCAATACAGAAACTTGTTTTCTTTGTTTTATTACTTCTATAGGTACTCTTATTGAACAAGCCACCTATTTACATCATATAATTTATTAATAGATTTTAAACTTTGATAAAATTTTATTTATTTTTTTGCTTTTTTAATAAAATTTACCATCTCTGCCAAAGATGCTGATCCCATATGAAGAAAAAAATGATGCTTCTCAGATATTTTATATTTTGATATACTTTTAATACCTTCGTAAGTAACAAAAAATAATGATGCTATAACATTGTAAAAATTAATTTATATAGTTTTATGTATTTTAGATTTTTTTTAAGTTATTTCACATTATAACTGTTTACCACTTGGTGCAGAACCAATTAATACAGGAAGAATTCCTCTATATAGATTAGCAAATCCTCCTGATTTTATAAATCCTTGTTTAGATTGTAAACGTGTTTTTAATGTGTCTAATGGAAATAAAATTACATCAACAGTTGTACCAGCCAATCCGCCAGCCTATTTAAATCAATATTAAACTATTATTAAATAAAAAGCAAATTCTAATTTTTAAAGTGCTTACAATTTAAATGGTAAATGTTATTTAGTTCTTTCTTAAAATCTTAATCATCAAAATATGAAAATACACTCTGTTATGATTAAACTTTCCACAAATATTTCACAAATATTTTAGTACTTAAAAACAAATACTTTTTTACTTACTATTAATGATGTAAGAAAAGTATATTTCATATCAGTTGTTTTTAATAATGTACTGTTTGTAATCATTTAATATATCAATACTTTTATTATTAATTTCAAACAGAACAATTTAAAACATATATTATCAATTTAAGCAATCATGGATGCGAGAACATTTTAACCTAACATATACGGTATAATTAAAAATTAATCTAATGTTATTATTGAAATGATATTTTATTACTTATATTTATCGAAAAAGAATACAATAATTTTTTACGTATTCATATAATTAAAATATCATTATAACTTATAGTGTACTATTTACAGTTTCATTGGTTCTATATAACGCATGTAACTTAAATACTTGACACATTGTTATGATATTTTTCATTATATCTTTACATTTTATTTAAACTTTAAATCATGCGAATAATCATCTTCTTCACAATATACAACTTGACAATACATTATAAATAAAATAAAATATTACTTTTTCTTATATATATCTTTTGTATACTGTTAATTTTTATGTGATTTTACAATAATTAATAAAATTTAATATTT